TTTTCATTACTGACAAAATCTTTCACTAAACGCTGCAAACTTAGATCATCATCGCATTCACAGATGTGTAAATTTAACGTTTCCCTAATAGTATTAGGTTGGTTATTCCATTGTAAAGAGTTTGGATAGATATAGTTATGTTTGGTTTTTCCTAGCGCAGCGAGGCGCCTTTCTTGTTCGCAACGAGGCGAATAAAACTAGGTTGCAACTAGGCAACTTGAATAAAATAATCAGAGAGACTCAATGTCCTGTTTGAATCTGAATTTCTTTATTAAATTTGTACAGTATTTATACTTATTCTAACTTAAACACTAACCTACCTGAATATTATGTTCGCCTAGTAATTTTCATATAAAAATGCTTAATATGCATTTCAATTAATTTAAAAATATGAATTTATTATTATTATTTAGTAATTACCCGAAATACTAAATAATGAAATTCCAATGCAAGTTAATGCACTTTACGAATTTCATTTGCGCAAAACAAAAGAATCAACTTACTTTTCTTTTGCGCTTCTTCACATGGTAAGTGTGTGATCAATGACTTTGCTTTTGGCATGTGCCAGTAACCATTAACCATTACCATTAACAAATAATTATTTTGTTTGTTAATATGTAGATATACTACACCATATATGGTCCACCCGAGTCGAGTTTTTGTTGCAGTTGGCTCATTCTTGCCTTCCTCTCTGAACTTCATTGGCATAGCTACCTCTTTATTGCTTAGGTCGATTATCATTCGAGGCCTAACGTTTTGATACGATTCTACTGGTAGTCCTTTTAAATGTTTATACTTATCGGTAAGTTCTGTCATATTTAAAGATTGCTCGGGTAGCTCCGAGCTTTGCGCCTTTCATTATCTGCACTGGCTCCAGCACCAAAAACTGGCGATACATTACTTGCTGCTTCTGCTAGTTCATATATTCAGTTGCCGAATCTTTTATGTGTTACATTGATATTACTCGATGCAACAGCCCACTGCAATCGCATTTGCGGTGGTAGTTTTTCTACAAGCTCTTGGATAAGCAACGGGTTCACTAAGTGTTAATGTAACTCTGAAGCCTCCATAGTTGCGATCAAATTTTTTACCAGTCCAGTTTATTCATATTAATGTACACTGCTCGAATTTTGGTAATTAAGTTATTGATTATGTGTTCTGGTCTTCCAAATACCATTTGAAGAGTTGACATTATTTCCGGCACTAATGCCGGTATCATGAGCCTACTGCTGACATATTCGAGTGACTTACCCTTAAGGGCACGTTGCAATCGTAAAAGATTCTCGTCTTCACTGAAACCGCATAAACGTGTTGAATTGCTGAAACTGCTGTAAAAAAGTGGCCACTCTTCCGGCTTTCCTGTAAATATTGGCAAATCTCGTGGAACGACATGACGCGCATTAATTTGTTCTATCTTCAGCGCCGGTATAACCTTCGATACTGTTTGGGTTTCCACCCTATCAACTGAACCATCCAACTGAACACCACAACCTACGTTTGGTTTGCTGTCATCGTTGTTCATACCAATCTGATTCTTTACCCATTCTAACGTCCTATGTGTCCTTACCTCACTCATGCCTTCACTTTTAACATCATTTTCGTCTACATATTTCAGCATCGTCTACGTTCTTCTCAATGTGTTGCATTTCGGCTTTCCTTTGTTCTTCTAGATACTGCAGTTCGGTTCTCATGCTGTTCCTTGACATGATCGAACCGCCTTTACTTACCAAGTCCTCCTCACTTGGTGCCTTATTTGGAACCCCTTGTGAAACCTGCATTACCTCACGTACCTTATTGCATTTATCGCAACTCCAAGGCAAGTCTGCAATGCTGTCATCCACGCCCACGCATGCAAAATGACTCCATTGATCACATGCGTCGCATTGCACCATTTTTCCTTTTTCCACCTTTTTGCACACGGCACATTTTACAGTCGACTTCTGGCTACCGGATGACATATTTTTCTTTTTATATGTGTTCCAGATTAAAAGGATATTTCCGGATTTCTTTCCAGGCACATCGCCACAATATATTTTTTCTCGATTGCCGCAAGATTCTTATAGATTGCCACAAAAATTTTAAAGTTTGTTGTTGACCAATTTTAACAGCGTAATGTTGTTGTGTATGCTTTAAAATCTTAAAACAAAACTTATTTATTTCTTGTACTTAAAATTAACTATTTTTTACTTACTTTTGGTCGCAACAACCGCCTTGCGCGTTCCGAAACTAAAACCCAAAGCCAAGCATAAATGACAATCAGCTAACATATGAACTGACAGTTTATGTGTGCACTGGGTTGCATTTTCTAATTATAGCTGCACGGTTGCAACGACCAAAGCAAGTTTACAAACATTTTTGTGGAGTGGAGTTCTAACATTACTGACAATAATGATATTCGTATACTGTTGTCTTCATAACAAATACAATTTTTGACTTACCTTTTAATTCAGATCTTGTAATGATTGTAAATACGGTTTTAGTAATTAATAAATAAAATAAAATTTGATTTATTCAACACAATTATTTTCTGAATTTTTTATATATAAACGTGGCTAGATATAAATTTACTTTGTGGCAATAACTCTAAATAATAGTGGCCTAAATAACTTTAAAATAAGGGTATCATTAGGACAGGTGGCCTGTAAAATATTGAATTTTTGCCTAAATGATATTATTTGTAGGGAAAATAATGATACTACTGTAATGCATAAATTTTACGTTAAATTATAGGCCCACAAACTAAACAAATGACCTACAGGGTCAATTGCATATTAAAGACAAATATTTTTTTTTTATATAAACGAATGCCCCTGTAAATTAAAATAAGTTTTGATTAATTTTTTTGCCGCTAATAAAAACTAGTTAAATTTCTTGTAACTATTTTTCTTGTTTGTCTGCATAAAGAAGTGATGCAGTTATTTTTATTGAATTTGATTGCAATGCGTACAACAATAAGAAATTTGTTTGAACAAATTTACGGGACCTTGTTTATTTGAAAATAATTTTTGTTTTTGTCTGTAATGCAAGGAATTTCAAATAAAAGGGCAGCGAAATTGTGAAATCGTTCTATTTGGAATTTCTTTAATTTCAAGGTAAGTCAGTTCTATTAGGGACGATAGTGGGAGCTCAAACTAGTTGGTCCAGACACATGTTGATTCGTTTGGCCATTGCTGACGATCACCATATGAATGGATGAACTAGTTTGGGCGAAGTGATAGTGAATTGCCTTCTGCTTGGCTGATGCTGGCGTAGGGCAATTTAACCAGTTGAGTTACCTTCGGCTTGGCTTATACTGGCGTAGGGTAATTTAACTAGTCTTCCAGACTTCCATTTGGCCATAGCTGATGGAGGAATGGATGACGAGTCACCAACACTGTCAGAAGGCGTGTGGGACTACGAGCGTTTGGCAATTGTTAACGGACGTGGCCAGGCGTAACAGCAGGAAGGGATCCTTGTCTTGCAATAGCTGACAAAGGTACTAATTTAAATTTTTGATTAGGGTTTTTAAAGCTATTTGGAATTTCTTTCATTTCAAGTTACAACGCTTATACGGCGTTTACATTGGCCGAAAATGGCTCATTTTGGTCAAAAATCGAAAATGAGTATCGAATGGCTCATTCTTGCATATAAAATTTCAAGCACAAAATGAGCAATTTTCTCACATTCTGTATGAATGACGTTCGAATGCATTCCACATATGTTCCAAATGCAAAGGAATCTATTGAACATACCCTAAATAAAAGCTCTTCATGGCATTTTGACAGTTTGTAAAAGCTGTTTTGACATATTTTCAAAAAAAGATAAACAAATGTTTAGTAGTTTTATTTCAGTTTGAATTGTTACCATGAGAACGAATGAAATACAACGAATGTAAACACTTTCAAATGAGTCATTCAAAATGAGCCATTTTCGGCCAATGTAAACCCCGTATTACGCTCGTAAGTCTACTGCTTCCCACAACTTTAATATCTCAACGCTTCCAGCGATTGCAACGCGCGCACTACCTACAACAATCAATTTTCAACAATTGCAATAACTTCATAATTTACAACAGTTACAATGCTTACGCTCGTGAGTGTATTGCTTCCCACAACTTTAATATTTCAATGCAACGCGCGCACTACCTACAACAATAAATTTTCAACAATTACAATAACTTCAACATTTACAACAGTTACAACGCTACCCTCGAGAATCTATTGCTTCTCACAACTTTAATGTATGTTTTCTTTTTTTTTTGTTAAATAATAACTGCTGCTATAAACGGAAGTATTATTTTACTTATCTAAATTTCTTATAACGAACCCTGGTATACTCGCTGAGTATACCCCAGTTATAGATTGGGCCGGAAAAGGTCGTTACACCACTCGTTGCACCAGTTGCTTTTAATAATTTGTTTGTAAAATACATTGAATAATTGTTTGGTCTACAGCATGTCTTGAGTCGAGAATCATTGCTTTAATTTATGCAACTTCTGCAAACATTTTGTTGTTGAAGCCGAGATACGTCCTTTGATTTATTGGATCCTACTTGATCCTTTTTTCTTCCAAACTGCAAAACTTCCACTAAAGTTTTTAGTGCAATGGTTAGTTGATGCTGAGTAAGTCCGAGACAAACTCAATAATCCCATAGATTTTTACTGTACTGTGGCATGTTACGAAATTTTTTATTTGGAAAACGCAACTCAAGAGGTTTTGAAAAAATATTTAAGATAAAACATTTTTTATGTAAACTAAAATCATCTACAACTTAAAATATGTAGTAATAAGACCAAAATATTAGAAACCAACACTTAATCTAATACACAACGCTTTTAATCCGCTTTTAATACCAAAAAATAATTAATTATGCGTTTCTCATAAAAAATTAGCAAATACAAAAAAATCAAATGTTGTTCTAAGTTTTAAATATTTAATTGTGAAGATCCAAGAAATAATTCAATTACAAATCAATAATCATTTCATGATACTCAGTGTATAAATATATAAAAGTTTTAAAATTTACTTCCATAATTTCTTAATAGACATGTTCTTCTCTGAACCCTTCTGCATAACTTTAGCGACAGCCATTTTAAAATCTTCTTGAGTAACATGCATACGATGTTCAAGCAGTGCGAACATACCAGTTTCTATACAAACGCCTTTAACTTCTGCACCAGATGTTCCCGATACAAGTTCAGCTATTTTACGCAAATTAATGCAGCGGATTAAATTAATTTTACGCGAATGAATTTTGAGAATATCTAAACGAGTTTCTTCATTTCGTGAGGGAAATTCAATTTGTTTTTATGATAGAATTATCCTTTTTCACAATAGCTTTAAATATTTCGAAAGAATATCCACTTTGGCATAAAAGCTCGCGCTAAATAGTCAAACTGCTAATTTACTGAAATTATTTTATAATTACCTTTGGATTTTCTTCTAAGAATCTCTTTATCAATATCTTACGACGATTATATAATTAAATTAACTCGAAAAAGTGCATAAATAAAAATGCTTCATCAATTTGCTCCGCTATTGTAAAATATGTAAACAAAATACAGAAATCAAAACATAGTCACAGCTGATATAAGCTGTCAAAATGTAACTCGCACACTATTTTGGGCAAAGTAGCTAAATGCGTGCAGTGCAAAAAATACCAAGAAAAGTCCCATTTGGTTTAGCATCAACTTAGCCTAATACGGCGTTTACATTGGCCGAAAATGGCTCATTTTGGTCAAAAATCGAAAATGAGTATCGAATGGCTCATTCTTGCATATAAAATTTCAAGCACAAAATGAGCAATTTTCTCACATTCTGTATGAATGACGTTCGAATGCATTCCACATATGTTCCAAATGCAAAGGAATCTATTGAACATACCCTAAATGAAAGCTCTTCATGGCATTTTGACAGTTTGTAAAAGCTGTTTTGACATATTTACAAAAAAAGATAAACAAATGTTTAGTAGTTTTATTTCAGTTTGAATTGTTACCAACCATGAGCAGCGAAAAATTACTGAAAAAAAAACAAGTTGTGTGGCCGCTCGAGGCGGAAAACATTTTGTGTGAACTTTGGGAGGAAGATATAGAAAACCTCCGTGGCAATAGGAGAAATAGCCACATATATAAAGAATTTCAACAAAAGCTTTCATTGCGTGGAATGGAGGTGTCGGTTAAAGGAATTTCGAATAAAATAAATAACTTGACGAGCAAGTATAGGTAAATTTAATTACGTTTTTTGTATTAATTTAAATTATACATAAAGTATATTATTTATTTATTTACTAGGTTACATAAATTAAATTTTCTATTTATACAATTAAATTTATTAACTAATATGAAACCTAAAATATATTATAGAAAAGAAAAGGCAGCGATGGGCATGTCGGGTGGATCTCCATCTACTTGGCCGCTGTACCATAAGGTACATGCCATATTAGGCAGTTTTAAAATCCACAACGTCGAAACATTGATGGATGAAACGGGACACGAAGATAACGGTATGGTAATTATAATATTTTTCTTGAATTTATAATAAGTAAAGTAATATTGTAGTTTCAAACATTACTCCATTGGCCGAGCCAGCAGTTTTGGAATCAAATGAAGGCACAAGTTTTTATCCATTGTTCGAGTCAGTTGATTTTCTTTATGACGCAGACGCAGCTTCTCCACTGCAGCAACTTAACTCTTCTACAGATACAAATTCCACTGCTGCGGTTGAAACAATATCTTTTGGAGCATCTGCAAAGAGAAGAAAAACAGACAGCATTTTACAGGAGTTACAATTAATGAGGGAGGAAGATAAGAGAAATGAGAGTAACTGGCAGCGTATTGAAGAGCGGCGAAACGATTTGCTGGAGAGATTGGTCAATAACTGTGAAAACTACCAGCAATCTTTATTAGAAGTTTTAAATAAAAAATAATAATAAATAATTATAGTATAGTAAGCATAGCACTGCTAGCATACCGTATTATGTAATATAAATATTTTTATATTAGTATTAAGTATAATAATAAATCATATTAAGTACAGTATAGTAAGTAATATTAATTTAGTAATATTAAGGATAAACAGTAATTAGTAATATTAATAAAAAAAAGATTACCTAAAAATGTAGCAATGGCTGATCTTATATTTTCAGATGTTGGATCGTTGTCAGTTAACAAAGCGGTCCATTCTGGTTGGGGTTTGACGTTATTGGCTTCCCATTCCTTTAATTGATTTTGCCAATTGAGGTTAATTTTGTCACTTCTCTCATTTAAAAAGTTGTGTAGGACACAAGCACTTTTTACAATTAAATTAACATTATCAATGTGGTTGTCTAGTCCCTTTCCAATTCTTCTGAATCTTGCTTTGAGGTGTCCAAAGGCGTTCTCCACAACCCTTCTGCACTTTGAAAGAACATAATTGAAATACTTTTCTGTTGGACTAGCAAACTCACTAAATGGATAGGGTTTCATCAAAATATCAGAAAAGCGGAATGCAGAATCTCCCAACAGTAGTGGAGGCACGCACACGCCATTTATTTCAACACAAAATTCTTTCATCATCGGTTTCATATGATGTTGTTTCAATTTAGATTTCTCAAATATTTGAGAATCGTTACAACGACCAGGGCAACCAATGTTAATATACATAAAGCGACATCTTTAATATAGAAGAAGTTATTTAGTGAAGATATTATTTAGGTTTCAATTTATAAATTTTAAAAGACTACCTATAGTCTACAGCTGCCAGAAGTACTACAGAATACCAACCCTTGTAGTTGTAATAATCAACGGCTTCTGACTTTCGAGGACGCACTTCAATGTGACAACCGTCTGAAACAAAAAATTTACACACTTATTTCCACATTGGATATTGAGTTACCTATAGCACTAATGCATTGTGGAAACCCTAATATATTAAAACCATTGATGCAATCACGAATTGTTGCTTCACTTAAGAGGTACTGGTTTAAATAAATTGGTTGCATTATTTTCCAGACTTCAGTGCAAAATTCTTTAAGGATTATGCATACAGATGATTTGGACACTCCGAAAAGGTTGCCCACAGTTCTGTACTCCGCGGATGAGCCAAGTGCGTACACTGCAATGGCAACTCTCTTCTCTAATGGAATTGGTCTGCGAAAGTTACTGTTTTGTTTTTTCATACTTTTGACCAAATCGCATAACTCTTTAAAAGTGTCCATTGTCATTCTGAAGTTTTCCTTGAAAAACGATGCATCTCTTTTTGGAACTTCTTCTTCCCAAAAAGTACTTAATCGGAGCTAAAAAATAAGTTTTCAGTTTATATTATATATTTTTTACTTTTATGTTATATATTTTACCTTCATCCAACATTTTTTTGGCACAGGTTCTACTTGGGCTACTAGTGCATTCATTAACAATAGCATTTTTATTTTTTTGTTTTTTTTGCTTTCGTTTCGCTTTATTTATACTACTTGTTAATGTGATTACAATAGCTTTTATTGTTTGTAAATAATTTAATTGTTCTGCAATAATCACTTTTTTATGTTGATTGTTTATTTTTGTAAACAAATGTAAATTTAAACAAAATAAATTACTACTTCAAATGTCAAATAAAATTTACATTCACAAATCAGCTGTTGAGAAATGAGAACGAATGATATACAACGAATGTAAACACTTTCAAATGAGTCATTCAAAATGAGCCATTTTCGGCCAATGTAAACGCCGTATAACTCGCACACGTCCTAAGTATTTGAAAAGCATAAAAAATTGAATTTTATACTTACGTGTACTTTATACAACTTACAATGATACTTACTTCACCGTAAAAGTAACTAAACACCATATTTCAAACAAAACACACATAAAAATGTTTGCACTATCGAAGAGAAAATAATGTACTATGGCTCCCAGCGCGTGGTTGATCACACTGCACTATTCCGGAAAACTATTTTTCCCAGCGCGTGGTTAACCACACTGCACTATTCCGAAAAACTATTTTTCAAAAAAAAATATTTAAGTTTGCAGGTTGTTTAGAATTAAGGTTTATACTATTTGTTTAGAATTAAGGTACATAGTATTATGGCCTTTATTTATTTTATCATTTTAATTGTGTCGTAGCCTTTAAGCACGCGCAAAAAGGCGGCGTGTGGCTTGGAGGTTAGTAAAAAAGAAAACGTGAAAGTAAAAAGGTCAGTAAACTAACTGAATAAAAACACAGGTAATATTTTTAATTTATAATAAGACCTTTCTGAAAATTTCATCATAAAATTCCAAGTTTGAACTTGCTTGATACTTAATGGGTTAAAAATAGTGAAAGATTCAAATTCATTACTAACTAGTTGTTCGATTGAGAAACTCCAAGAATATGTAACAGATGAAGATGAGCTAGCAAAAGAGATGGATTGGATGATGAAGAAATCTAGACCCAGTAAAAGACGTAGAGGAGAATCCTCACCAGAGGTATTCATTCAAGCCAAATATATTGAAAAAACTAAGAAGAAAGTAATGTCAGCGATTTGAAGCAACAGGGGTTCAAAGCTTTGAGTGCGAAAAGCAAACTTAAACACAAAACAAAATAACCATTAGACATATTTCTTCTAACTTTTGAACATAACGGATACCTCAACAAAATATTCGCAATAAGACATATTCTGCACTCAATACTAAAAATCGAAGCTGTCAAGTCTCCTAAACTTATATCACAGTGTAAAAGCTGACAGTGGTTTGGTAACACTAAGAATTATTGTAATAGGATATCGCGATGTGTTAAATGCATAGGCAATCACCTTACTATTATTTGCATAAAAGAGGTTAATGAACTGCCAATGGTAATGGTGTTTCGGCTTAGGCTAAGGCCCTATGTACTGCGACTAGTTTGATATATTGTGCACCCTTTTGTATTTAGATATTTAGTATATCGAGGAATCAAACCTGCTCCTTCGCAGGGACTTTTCGAAGGTCTTCATCCTTTAGTTGGTATACACCTAAAATTTTGTTTCTTCTATGGCCTAGTGCATCACATTCGTGATCAGATGTTCCATACACTCTTCCTCATCACAGCAGAATCTGCAAATATTAGTGTCGGATATACCTATTTTGTGTAGGTGTTTGTTACATGCGTGGCCTGTTAGTGCACCAGAGAGTGACTTTAGACTCTTCTTGTTTAAGTTGAGAGCGGTGTTTGCTCTTTTGGCATCAAAATTTAAGAATATTTTGGAATGATATAGGTCGTCTATTCCATTCCAGCATTCATTGATACTTTGTTGGATCCTTTTTTTAGACTCCTGTTTTATGTTCGTTTTATTGAAGCCAAAGAAGGGAGTTGGATCAATAAATGGTTATTTTGTCCCTTTTTTGACATAAAGGTCCGCCTTTTCGTTACCTTCGTGTCCTTCATGTCCAGGTACCCAAATCAGAGAGACCTGTGGGTGGGTGGTAAATTGGTTGAGTGTATTATTTCACTCCATAAGAACTTTTGATGTGAATGTGTAGCTTTTTAGAGCTTTGAGAACTGATTGGCTGTCTGAGAGTATGTTAATTTTAACTCTTTTAAGTCCTTTTTTGGATAAGATCTGCACAGTCTCTATTATAGCATAGAGTTCCGCATGGAAAATTGTGGAGTCAGTGCTTATTGTGATTGATTTGTGTGCTCTGGGTCACACTATTCCTGTTCCAACACCTTGAAGAGTTTTGGATCCATCTGTATACCATTTTTGCGAATCGTCATGTAACCATGTTGGATTGGCATTCCACTCTACTCTTGATGAGAAGATGATCCTATATATCTTGGTGAAATTGAGTACAGGATTTGTGTTGTCAATTGCCTTGGTTATATATGTAACGTTTTCCACAATTTTCCAGCAATTGTGGTCTCTATAACTTGCTTAGTTTAGATATAGTTGTAGTTTGTTTAGTTTTCCCCACCATACCAATGCTCCATATAGTATGATGGGTCTAACCATTTGGGTGTAGCCCCAAATGCCATTTTGGGGCTTGGCCACAGGATTTCTCTAGAAGTTGTTTTGTAGTGCAAGGGTTTTTTTTAGCCTTTATAATTACGGAATTGGGGTGTACTTCCCAAGTGAGTTGTTTACCCAGGGTAATTCCTAAATATTTTACCTATTCCTTTAGGGATACCTCTGTATTGTTTATTGTTAGTAAAAGGATATCAATCGCCCTTTTTCTGGTAAATGGTATAATAGTGATTTTGATAGAATTAATTTATAGTCCTTCTTTCTCATGTTGTATTAAGTGCATCGTGCATTAAGTCCCTGATAGTCCTTTCATGGTTGCCATAACAAGTACTCCCCCTTGCGGGCATCCTTTTACTGCTGTGACTGGTTTTCTTTCAGTTGGTTGTTTTAGGGCTTCTATAGAACATTACGCTCTTACTTAACCCCCTTATTTAAAAAAATATGTGTTTATGATTAGACATTGTATCCTCATCAGAGACTCTCCACTTAGTGATTAAATCAAGTGAGTTATTGGTTATGAGTGAGGTTTATTTAGTTTGTAGTAAAAACTGAGTATCTTACCTCTCGTGTTTGTATCTGTGCTGTCTCATATTGTATTATGCGCGAGTTAAGTGTCCGTTCGACTTATCAAGATAAAAAAATATTTTTATTAGAAGCATTTGCTTCAATTGTTAGCTTTATTCTGAACTTAATTATTTAAAATACAATATTTTATACATTAAAATATGCTTATGTAGCATATGTTTACATAATCAAGAAATAAATTTTAGTTCACATAAATATATGGTTACAATAATTATTATGATAAGAAATAAAATACAAAATATATGATATACGTATATACTCGTAGTGTGTCGCTGCATGTGCTGTGTCTGGGGCAATAACTTGTTATGTAACTGGGGTGTCACATAACTCCTCCCCCCTTAGTGTAGAGCGATGGCCATAGAGATTTTGATGTGGCTGGAGCGATGCTTGGACTGGTGATAATGTATTATATAATTTTCTTTTTCGGCAAGGACCAAATGATGATGATAATTATAATAAAAGAACTTCTGTGATTATATACATGTAAAAGCTTTTTTCGCTGTGTAAATTCTTTCAGTTCTATGATGTTGTCTTCATTTGAATATTGATATTGTTCAAGTCTCTGCAGGGTTAGGATTTCTTTGGTGGAATTTGCTTTAATTATTGAAGATGATGACTGCGCCAGGTATATTTCGTCCCAATATGTTTTGTGGTTATCGTTATAGATTACTCCGTTAACAGCTACCTTGCAGTTCTGATAATGTATGAGACCTGTTCCTTCTATGTTTTGGAAATTATTTCTACAAGAGGTATTAATTATTGTTAGTGGTATATTTATAAAAACTATATAATTTTCCTCTGGTTGGATTATTTTTTCAATATTTCCCATATCATTTGATGAACATTCTGCTGGTTCATTTTGCATTAGTTTGGCTACACAAGTAGATTCTGGTGTGTTTTCTATATAACTGGACACCTTACAGTAGTATATATTTTCAATCTTGGGGCATTTTTCGTCAAAATATTGAATAGTTTCATTGTTATAGGTTATAGTATATGATTTTATTATTATTTGCATTGTTTTATTGATGGGGAATGGGATAATGTGGTAAAATTGGTGTGATGTTGTAGAAAGTGTTGGGATACGGATATTGAATATAATATTTGTGTTATTATAGTAAGCTTGAAGGTTTAGAAGTTCATAAATATGTTCATCAGATTTAATTTCAACTGTCTGCTTTTTGAAATGAATATGGAGTTCATCAAGTTCAGATGGATTGAGAATTTGTTTTGAGATTATATTAAGATTTGCTAGTGTGATCCATTATGTGTGTTATGTCCATTATGTGGTTAGTGAGTAGATCTATGTTATAATTTAATTGGTTTAGATATTGTATTTCGAATAAAATGTCTTCGGTCTGTTTTATTCTATTTGCATTAATGTTCAAAAAGTTTGTTATCTCAAGTTGTTCGTTACTAATGTGGTTTGTCAGATTTTTGAATATTTGTATCATTTACTTATTTAGTATATGTTGTTTTTTTGTAATTGTGGTGAAATTTTCTTCGTTTATATGTATTTGTTTTATTTGTTCATTTAGTTCTATTACGTCGTTTGAGTCCATGTTACCGGTAATGCATTTAATAAGCGATCCCGCACCATTTATTAAGCCTTGTTTTTGTCTTTATATTGGTGTAATTGTTCGTAATTTAGTTCTTAACTCTTTTAATTTGTACTCTGTTATGTCTATCGAGTCCAAGTGTGTTCCATGTTGACGAAAAGTGTCTAAGGTCTTGGAAATACTTTCCACATTAGATGTGTATTCGTTTAAATCTACAATGTGTATTAGGTTATTATAACTTTTAATTATTCTTGCTTCTCCTAGCCGTAAAGGTAAGATTCCCTCATTTTGGTTCAGATCTTTTACTTCAAATAATTGAGCTGAAATGACCGTTATCCTGTAAGATTTCAATATTTCTTAAGTAAATTTGGCTTGCTTTTTTATTCTGGATTTGTGTAATTTACGGTTATTTGTTGTAATAA